CTAGGTCGCCAACTTCACAAAAATAAAAAATATCAAAAACTTTCTAAATGTAAAATTGTTCTTTTTACATATCTTTTTAATGACCAGATGTGTCTTAAAACATAATTTACAGACGTTATTATTACTTTGACAAACTTCTACAACATTAAATCTTTAGGCCGTCAGACCGCCAACTTCAAAAAAAACTCAAAAAATTAATGATAAAATCAAAAAGTTCTCTCACAGATTATTTTGGTTTATATATTAATTTGAATAACAAGAATTGTCTTAACTACTTCATTAAATACCACTTATATTGTTTTTGATAACATTTCTACAACTGCGCTGGGCCGCTAAGCCGCCAACTTGACGCCGCTAGGCCACCGGGTCGCTAGGTCGCCAACTTCAAAATTCTGCCTATTTCATATTTTCATTTCACTGTCTGAGCAATGTGGAGTGATTGTACTGTTTTCATTATGCTGGGGCTATCTTGGTTCATTGGTAAGCATTCAAAATAATAATAATTATAAAGTAATACGAAAAATGTTATGAGGCACTAAGCAAAATAGACAGACAGAAGCATAGTATCGATTCAAAACTGTTTAATTAAATTTTGACAACAAGAGGTGCTATATTTGAGTGATCGTGGTTTTTGCATTTTTTCCGTAATTTATATTATTATTTGTCGGAAAGTTTTTCGGAGATAATCGCATATGAATTGAGATCTGACGATAGTTACTTCCCCATTTTTAACTCACACAATCATAAAGTGCTCAAAGATGAGCTTTTAGTATCATGTGATGGCAAAATAGAAAATAGTAGATCCCGCGATAAAAATATATGTTTAATCATGTTTAAGCATGGGATACAAATGAAACGTGCAACAATTCTCTCTCTCTCAACCACTATCACAAGATTAAGCGTTTTTCAATCTTCAAGTAAGTCTTATAACAAAACAGATTAAAAGGTACCACGTATTTCCATATTCGGATTGAACATATTAATCGAACCTGACCCTTTAACAAAGAAATCCACAAATGTATAACCTTAAGAAAACTATTTAAATTAACATTATCATCATTTTTCCCCTCTCAAGTCGAGTTGAGTAAGTTTTATATTTCAAAAGATTGGCGAGTATAATGATAATTGACCAATTATTGATATTGAAAAATGTGTATGATACAATATCAAAACTACCTAGTTATATTAAGACTGACCTAATATTTTTAAATATAGTTCAAGTTCAAGTTCAAGTTTGGCACTTTAGCTGACCTATGGATGTGTATAGTTGTTATTGTTGAATAACTTAACTGTGACGGAGTCGACACTAACATTTTAATAATATTGTTTCTATCTAGACTAATTTGAAATCCAGTGACCCCTCCTAGCCTTAGAAGTCCCTTCCATTTTGTACCAATATTTCATCCATAAGCATTTTAAAATATTAAATGCAAATACTTATTATTACAAATTCAAGTATTTTTTCCAAGTACCAACCAAGCCCTATTAGTCCAGTCATTCTAGCCCGAAAATGGCCAAAGGTAGAAAAAATTGCAAAAGAATTTATTTGCATGTTGTTAAGTATTTTTATATGTGTAGAATAACGTGATAAGGGTTTAAACTGTTTTACTTTGGCGGAAAACACTTAAATATTTGAAATAAAACATGCCTTAAACTTTTGCTAGAATTAGACTGAATTGACAGAGCTTGTTTAATTTTTCTATGTTTTTCCGTTTAAATTGTTCGTTTCATTGTTTTTGAGCCATTGAAGACAAAACATGTTTGTAGAAACTTATGGTTTCATAAACTTGACCATTTTTTTAATATTTAGATCATATTTGTCATATGTCTGGGGTAAAATATTACCCAACCCACTTTTTCAGCAAAGACAACACGTTCTCAAGTTTTTACTTTTAAGATACTCATTGAAACATATCATCCAGTTGATGTTTCTTAGTGTTATTCTTTGAAAGTAATAATAAACAATAAAGAAACTAACTTTCAACCATTTTACTACATTCATGACAAAAGGGTAGATAATTTACTCCACCTATTTCAAAAAAGAAATATTACAATAATTAAAATACAAAATGACATAAATTATTCAAATCTCTATTGTACACAAAATATATATCTTTTAGACTTGTTCCCAATTGATTTCAAAGTTCATTTTATTTTTAAAGCTTCATTTTGATTTTATATCAAATGAAAATCATATACATATATATCTGCAAATAACCGTCAATTAGTTAGATAATTTTAGTCGCTAAAATTAAAGCTACAATTCAAATTAGTTACATTTTGTTTGTCAAAAGGCTATTTCACTTTCTAAACCCAATCAAGGTATATGGACTATAAATGAACGTGGTCAATACAGAAACTGTTATTTTTACAAAACCAGGATTTGGTAGGTATGTAACGAAATTGATTCGTTATGAAATACGATAGCATTATAACATACATATGAGTAGATTTATCATTATTAGTGAGACTTACATATTTCAACTACAGCTACAAAATTAATATATTAAATAAGCACTTTTATGCTTATAAATTACTAGAATGCAATTGAATTACATAAAACAATAATATAAACACACCACATTTTTGTTTTACTTGAGCTTTATAGAAATACAGTCTCATACAAATATATACTGTATTTATATAGTATACAAAAAAATACAAGTTTGGTTGTTAAATAAAAACATAAGTTAACCAAAACTGATGTGTATACGGTAATCCATTACAACGTACATATGAGTTAAAGATTTCTAACAATGTAATCTTAATCCTCTTACAATGCAAATGAATACTAATACAAGGTTTTCGGTCTCTTGCCATCACAGTTATTCCGTTTTCAGACACATTATCGTCATTCTCATTAAGGGCAGAAGAGTTCGAGCAGGTCCCCCGACAGGCCCCACAACCTTGTGAACAATCTAATCCATGTTTCCTACACGTACACCGTTTTGAATTACAGTTCTGTCTACAATTACATCGTACAACTTTGAGTAGAGGTTCTAGGGCTGGCAGAAGATGTGTCCTTATTGGATATAGTTTGTTGTTAGTTACTTCCCATCCCCAGTTTACAGGATTCAGTTCATTATTTCCAAGCCATATCTGAGTCTGAAGATATGTACGCAGTGTGTGATACAAAAATGCTGCCATGGTCGGTGATAATGTCTCTACTTGGACGGATGTTTTGCTTGTGCATACCTTTTTTGTAAACTTACGGAACCTCAGGATATCAAGCCCTTCTAAAGGAATACCATTGTTGAGAAGAATCAATGCCTGTTCACCACGAGTTGAAATCTCGTTTTTATCTGGCTCCGCTTCATTGAATATCTCAATAACACGTCTAAATTCGGAACTGGTTCTGAAAAGCTTCAGTACTGCTTCTTTGCTTAAACCATATATCCTAGAAGTTGTATCACAACCTGTGAACGCGTGGATGAATGGAAGCATATAACACAATTCAGGTCCAATGAGCTTTTTTGTTTTCTTTATATCCCATACTTTCTTTGTCTGATGTGTTCGTCTTATATCTGATTTATAGAACAGATCATGTCTTGAATTGTCTGCATGGTGGCACAACAAGACAAGCACGTCAGTATCCTCTCCAACAACAACAGTATCCTGTGATGCAGTTTCCTCAATGGCAGTGCTAACTATCAAAGTATCAGCGTCATCTTCTGCTTGTTTTGTACATTGTTATCTCTCAGGAAATTAATGAGGAGAGTAATAAAATTTTGCTTGTTTTCTATGTTATTGAGGGATTTCTCCTTATCTTTTATCAAACATTGATGATGGAACCTGGCACAACTCGTACTTAAATATATCTGGCATGTTTGGCATATTTCGGTTTGCAACTGCTATGAGACGCTGAAACAAAAGTTGTGGATCGACTTCTATTTGTTCATTGTCAATTTTCAAAGTGGACCTAACATTCATTCTTACCACTTGATGTGATCTTTTAAAAGTATAATCGTCTACATATATTTTAATCTTTCATATCTTTCAAAACACAGTTTCCAACATCTTTTGCTTTGTCAATATTCACTGTCGACTCTGCAAATAGACCTGTTTCAATGTTTCTCAGATCTTGTACAGCCTCGTCAAATGGATTCCTCTCAGAGAGAAAGTTAATAATAATTCTCGTATCTTTTATGTCCTTCGCATTTCTTGTTATTCTTACTTCTTTGTGGTGCTCACTGGTAGAATAATGTACTCCTGACAATTCTTGAATTGCAGCATTCATCCCACACATCACCACCCCTTTTCTTTTTGTTTGATTTAGCATAATTTGTGCAGAATAAGCAGTCAGATTTTATATTAAAGTTCTCTTCTGATCTCAAACGTCTGCTGTTCTCTTGGTCATCCATCAGGTTGTGCCCTACAACATAAATTGAAATATTAAAACTATCTACATAAGAATTGATTAAAGACCGAATTAATATGAAGTATGGGCTTGTGTGGCACAAGTAAAAAATCATTTTTGTTACATTTTTAGTTCTTTGTGATGAAATGTTTTCATCATATTATTTAGCTATGTACATGCAAGATGGCGTGAATTGTGTTGATATTATATAACCAATCGTTGACAGTCCCAATCAAATGGGGTCTGTTATTGTTTTGATTTTATAATGTCCTTAGGAGGCATATTTTTTCATATCATAATAGAAGAATGTCTATTTGTTAGTAGTCATTGGTTTAAAATTATTTAATAACGTAAAATAATAGAGCATACCATGAACATGAATGTAGAAGGCAAACGCTTTTAGATGTGCTTGTCTCGCCAAAGATTTTACATGATTTAACACACTATGTCTGAAAAATAAACAACAAACAAAGCATATAGAACCCAGAATCTGGTTTTCTTTAAATAATAATAATAATAATAATAATAATAATAATAATAATAATTTTTTCTTTAATTGTATAAACATTTACCTTAATGATAGAGATAGATTGCCAAAAGCTACACCTATAGCTTAAGTTTAATTGTTATATATATTCACCGACAATAAATGAATATTGACGGGAGCTGGCTGCCAAATTGGGGTTGCATTTTCTGGGAACAACTCGTTAGCAGCCCCAATCAAAACAAGTTTGCTATTCTTTTTTTTCATGTTTTGCTTTGTTAAATTCTCATTTTCAATGTTTGTTTTATGATACAGAGCAATTTATTTTATTCTGAAAACACATCACATACCTTTTATTGAATTGAAATATGATCTGACCTCAGATAATACTACACGTGAATTGACTGCTTTATCAATATATTGTAACACCTCATTAGAACCAATCAGGTTGACATTTCTGCAAAATACAATATGATAATACAATAAATGGTATCAGGAGTAGTTAATTATAAATTTTTATTTAATTTCATAGACAATAGCATACGTTAAAAATCTAACCCAAAACACACACTTACCACTGCTTTAAGTTCCACACCTTCATTTCTCAAGTTCACATGTCTTTTACCTGAGAGAAAAAATACTTTTATTACTTTTATTTTTATACAGTGGCTTGGTATTATTTTTTACATTTTATTTTATTTATATTAAGCTTTCATATCCAGGAAAATAGTTTACTACACATAAAAGTATATATGAAATGACAGCGAAAGCATGAGAATATAACTAACTGAATAGTATTATATAACTTAATATTGTACATTGGTAACATTATTAAAGTATCTATTTTACCTTTAAACGTTTACATGCACGTAACGAACCAGCTTCAAGACTTCTCCTGCAAACTTATTTCACTGGTACAGTAAGGTCAATCTAAAATGAAACAAATAAGAAAAGTACTTTAAACTTATTCATTTAACATGCATTATAGACTTATTTAGCCAAAGCTTTGTCATAAATCGCCAAAAGAAAATATTTAAGATTTATTTTCCAAATTTCCGAATTTTGACCCAAACACGCATCCGTAGTTTAAATTTTTTTGCAGACTTTTATTTACCGGCAGTAGCGTAGCCGGGCATACGCCAGTACGCCGTAGGCGTACTAAACGAAAATGAATTTTAAAAAATCAAAAAGTCTTAAAAGTTGAAAACAGTTGTCCAAATCATTACCCTAACCCGTGTTAGGCATCGCCGTGAGTTTTGACGGTGAAAAAGGATTTGCTGACAAAAATATTTTGTTATTAAACGATTTAAATAGTGTATCGGTATTTCTGTTGCAAGTGTAGAACAGCTAGTACTATATTAGGTAAGACAGTGTCATGTGTCTTATCGTAGAATCCTATTATATTCCGAATGTTGATAAGAAGTTATACTAGCGGGAAAAATCAAATGTCGTCCCCAATGTAAAACGTCCGAAGAACATGAGCCTCCTTACGTTGATAACTGCACCGTTTTAAACGATGAACAGAAAGTCACTTTATTAAAGTCAGATTGGCCCGATGTCCATAAATATGCATTTAAATCGAGGTAAGTTTATGCAGATCAAGAAATTTAAAGTAGGTAAAATAATGCAATTTGTCATTAAATCATATTCAAATGTATTTTTTTTCAATCTAATTACATCAAATATTATTCAATTTTATTTTTAACTAGATCTATAATAAAACTGAAATAAAGAGTCATTTTTAAACGTTGTCTAGGGCGTACGGACGAAGCTACCTTTACCAGGGAAGTGAGAAAGTGGGTTTCATGGTGGACAGGTGGGGCACTTGCGTTGGACCGGCACTGGCTTATGAGCAGTACTGTCCCAATGTCCGTCGTTGTTTTTTTAGTACTCACTATACTGCTCACTATGCCAGTGTCTACAGAACGGCTCTCTGGGCTTGACCTAATGAATATTTACAGAGACATGAAAATTAAATCTGAGTACATTGTTGATAAATTTGAAGCAAGAAAACAACGCCGCCTTGCATTTGTCTTTAGAGAATAACAATCTCGGCATTGATATCATCATGAAATTTATCACATACCCGTGTCGATTTTGCGACACCGTAAAAATGGTATATTGCACTGGCATATATTTTGACAAGACATCATTTGCGTTACATAAACATAACTCTAAGACGCGCTAAATGTTAGAGTTTTACTATAGGCGCTTCAATGAAAAATGTGTCTTTATCACTTCAAACAGTCTTTGTTTTTGGTATGTGATAAATAGAAAATTACATGCGTGTAAGTTCATTACTAAATTTATTGAACGAGTTGAATAAAATAATATTATGCTCGCCCCCTCCCTTAACCCGCCAGAGGCTTAATAATATATCATTTTATTCACCTCATTTTAAATAAAATTAGTATTAAACTTACACTCTTTCAATGTCCTCTATTTATTAGATAAGAAGGGAATTAAATATGTTGTCAGATGTCTCCAGATTGCGTTATTTTGCATCTATAAATCCAAATTTTCTCGGGGGAAGACCCCCGAACCTCCTGCCATTTACAAAGGGAAGGGGACACCCCCTCCCTTAACCCGCCAGAGGATTAATAATATATCATTTTATTCACCTCATTTTAAATAAAATTAGTATTAAACTTACACTCTTTCAATATTCTTTATTTATTAGATAAGAAGCGAATAAAATATGTTGTAAAATGTCTCCAGATTGCGTTATTTTGCATCTATAAATTCAAATTTTCTCGGGGGAAGTTCATTATTAAATTTATTGAACGAGTTGAATAAAATAATATTATGCTCGCCCCCTCCCTTAACCCGCCAGAGGCTTAATAATATATCATTTTATTCACCTCATTTTAAATAAAATTAGTATTAAACTTACACTCTTTCAATTAAATATGTTGTCAGATGTCTCCAGATTGCGTTATTTTGCATCTATAAATCCAAATTTTCTCGGGGGAAGACCCCCGAACCCCCTGCCATTTGCAAAGGGAGGGGGCCAACCCCCTTAACCCACCCCAAGGCGTATATTTACTTTTGGCCGCGCTACGCCACTGACCGGTTATATAAAAATGAGTTTATACACAGGAACAACATATATTTTATATAAAATAATTGATCATCTGCTTTTAACATATTTATAGGGCCAAAAAGAGATATTTAACCTTCATTTGATGCATAATTATGTATTGTTCATTACTCTGCTGTAAACTCGATTTTGGCGTAAATATCAAAGGTTGTAGACATTGTTTAATGTTGAAATTCAAAATTTATAGGAATTATTACAAAAGATAACTTACTTTCTTTTATATTCCTAGTAAATGCTTAACATCACACCAATTGTTACTGAAAAAACACACCGGCCAGTCAACGCATCCGCCATTTTATATGATTTGGATTTAGCTCAATACAGGATTGGAGCAGTACCTCTAGACGCTTGCAGAAATCATGATCACAAAATAGACAAATATCGTTTTTTTCGCCGATTTTAACATTTTTCCTTGATTATCGTACTTGATTCGGTGTGAAAAGATGAATTAGACCTGTTAAAGTTCATTCCGTTGGGTAAAAAGACAAGATTTTAGCATTTTATCATTCAAGCGCCTTGTCCGGTATATACCGGAATACGGTATTTAGTGTGGTGCTCCAATTCTTTTTGGATTTAGCTCAATACAGGATTGGAGCAGTACCTCTAGACGCTTGCAGAAATCATGATCACAAAATAGACAAATATCGTTTTTTTCGCCGAATTTTACATTTTTCCTTGATTATCGTACTTGATTCGGTGTGAAAAGATGAATTAGACCTGTTAAAGTTCATTCCGTTGGGTAAAAAGACAAGATTTTAGCATTTTATCATTCAAGCGCCTTGTCCGGTATATACCGGAATACGGTATTTAGTGTGGTGCTCCAATCCTTTTTTTAGTCACAGCTAATCACTAAAAAAAGAATTTAGTCACAGCCATATGATTTCACGTCACTTTATGACGTCATATACACAGAAAGCACCTGAATGGTGTACTATACAGGACATCTTCAAAATGTATTATTTTCGCCATTTTCATTGTTGGATTTTTACACTTTCCCCATTGAAATGAGGCTTAAAAATAACATTGTGTCTTAGTTAGGCATTGTTACGTACGATGCACAAGGAATTAATTCTTTTGCAATTTTTTCTAGGTTATAAATAGAATGACTGGACTATATGTTGCACAGGCATGAGTATCGGACCTGGGAAGAAAAAATATGACCCGAAAGATAATTGAACCTGTGTTCATCTTTAAAAGGTCAAAAACCGAAAAAAATTGTAAATTATACCCCCCTTTAAAAACATACTTTAAGTTAAGAGAAGGCCAGAAACTCCAGATTCGAGCCTGCAAGCAAGGGATTCACTTCCCAGGCCGTTGTGAAAACAATTGTCCAGACAATTAAAAAAATCTTTTATCACTTTCACGTTTGTATTAAGCTTCCAAATGGGACCAAGTCTTTAGCCCTTCCCGTTCATGAAATATCTATCGGGGAAACAAACGCATTCATGCTAAAAATCCTTGGTAGACAAAATTGCGGCACAACAATTCGGTACGTAAACATAGACTAGTACATGTTTGTCAGCCGTGTACAGGTCATAATCATATTGTCACTTGGTGCAATAACTCACTTAATGTATATGTATTTTATAATTACTTATTAATGTATTTTCATTTTATTGTAAATAGGCCATCAAAAAGGCTGTATGAATCGGATAGTGGCACTGATGAGAATGAGACAGACACAGAGAGTTGGCCACCACAAGTTATTGACCAAGCAACAACGCCCAAAGAGTCACAAAGCCTACTTTCATCTCCGCCTCGCTTATCTGCACAGGCATTGCGAGAGGCCAGCAGTGATGTGCAAAGTGCTTCTCCAATACAAGGTGTTTCTGATACACCCTTCCGTGGGCAGATTATTGGGTCCAGTAAGTATAAACTTCGGAGCTATAAATATATTTATTATTACAGTACATACTTATTAAATGTTATATTCTCAAAACAAGTCAATAAATGTTATAACAAGCTGGATTGAGTTACACAGCCAAAAATGGAAAGTTTCACCTTGTGACGCCCCTAGTTCAAAAAATATTCAAAAGAAATTGATGATTACTTGTGTTAGTCTTTATCATGATGTGAATTTGTGCGCATATTCTTGCCTGACCCCACTACTGTTATCCAAAGTTACGGTCCCTGGAAGAGTCAAGAATGTTTATTTTCACCAAATGACATGCCTAGGCTCAAAAATATGTTAAGTTTAATTCATGATTTCTTATCATTTTCACATTTTGTGACCTTGCACACTCAACAATCCTTTTGAGATTTTAGCGTTAATTACTGTTAAAGCCAAGGAGAAATTTAAAATACTGGATTTTTTTCATTTGAGCCGGGTCATGACAAAACCAACATAATGGGTTTGCGACCAGCATGGATCCAGACCACACATAGCTCTAAAAGTATATGGCCTAGAATTATGAATTCTTTTTTTCAGCTGCTGTTACACAGATTCTCCGAGTCTTGGAGATAATGCGAGAGAAGAATCGTGAAATTAAGAGGATGGTGCAGCGAATGCTGTTAAGGTCAGCAGCAGATGGCCAACCGCTGCAACTTCCGAAAGATATCTCATTCCCTATTCGTTATCCTGAGCAGATGGAAGCATTCGATAAGCTTCTGGGAGATCAGACAATGCTCTCATCTGTGGTAAGCATAGTGTTAGTCATGTATGTTGCTCCATTAGTAACTGAAAAAAGTATACCCCATATCCACTGGCCTAAAAGCGAAATAACATAATGGTCTGTGGTGAGCACATGATGATAATGTATAATCATTCTGCTATATTTATGTTGGAAAATATTGCACAGTGGACAAACACTTTGCTGCATTAATTTCAGAATTAAAAACTGGCATGTTTTAATTTTTTGATTCATATTGACACCGTTATGTTATTTATATATGCTATAATAGCCATGAGCACAAGACATGGGCAGTTGGCCTCGTTTTCAACATTAATTATTAATTAGGACAAGACAGTCAATTCATTAATCAAAATGCTGGC